TGGGAGCATTCTGTATCAGCACTGGGAAGGGAAGGGCTGATTCACTGACTGCCTTCTTCGCTCTACTTTGGACTTTTTCAAAATCCTCTACTCTTACCTAGGGCTGGGTGACAAAAACTCAGATTTTGTCATTTTTTTCCTTCTTAATAAAAACAAACTAGAACAGACACCATATCTTTGATGTGAAACACCACTTATCACTGCGTCCCCTTCTTTTCATATGGGATTCTATGGGAAATGATTCTACACAGTCTATGTAGATAAGTGACTTAAAGGGATTTTTTGTTTTACAGAGCATCCATAGTTTAAATCTCAATTTTTATTTGTCGCCCAGCCCATTTGTCACTCTACTCTCACCTGCAGGCAGAAATGGTCATATTTAATCCTGGTTCTTTCACTACACAGGAAAAAGACAATAACGGAGGAAAAACTCAGCATGAAATCAACAAGTAAGAATTATCTAAAGGCTTTGCAGAGTGTGAATGAGTTCACAGAATATAAAGTTCTTAGAATTGACCCTACGTTTTGCTAACGTTCGCTAACTGAAAATGTGACTATATATGATATATGTTGCCTTTGCTCAACTGTTACTGGAGCATAATGCAAAAAGGGGCGGCACTTAGTAATGGTCAATTGGACAAGTTGTCCCCAATTAACTGGTCTTTTTAAATGTGTCCCTGAAAGTTGCCCCAGTCAGAGCCAGGCTCACAAACATGCATGCGCACACAAACTTACTGGGTGCTAGGCCCGTCTATGTTGAAAAGACAACCACATTTTAAGGATGGTTAAAACCAGACTTTTTAAGAACTTAGTTAATAGTTAAAATATAAGAGGCTGACCCACATATTGGAAGGCTGATATCATTGTCTGATATTGACCACAGCAGATATGCAAATAGAATAGGCAGTTAAGAAATGTATTAAAGGCTACATTTAACCTCTGTTCATCTTAATTCAAATTTGAAATGTATTTGTTGTATTATATTAATTTATATTTGCAGTAAAGTTTACTTTACTTTTACATTCATCTGTGAGCATCAATATCATTGCTGATAAACAGTATTTGTGCAGCTCTAATATTGATCCTTTTTTTTCTCTTTTAGATGTACCATATAAAAACATGGATGAGGGAAGAAATAATAAAGTGACTACTATGTGATGACAAACTGTTTTATCTGAATCAAACACCTGATATGAGGTGAACATTGGTCAGCTCTAAAGCTCATTCAACATGCCTGAGAAAAATAAAACACTGTAAGAAATGAAGGAAGTAGTTTTTGTTTTTGAGTGTTTTGAATATATTATAGGTAATATTATGTATTATGATATAATATTGTTCATGTGCCTGTGTTTTGCTTTTTAACTTATGCTTTTCAAAATTACATTTTAGGCAGATACAGAAAGTGCAAATCTCTGTGTATCCTTTAAAATGTATATGTATTTTTGGAATGAAATGCGCAAAGAAAAGTAAATGTGTTTGAAAGTGCGTTTGTCTGTTAAAAAAAAAACTGTCTGATATAGACACATTCTCAGGCAGGCATGTTCCATACATGATGAATTCTAATGACTGAGGTTCCATCTAGCGCCACCACCAGCTCAAAATGTATACTCATCAGATACTGTATCACCAAATACTTGAAAGGGAGTATGGAGGGGATGCTACAACCTACAAGGTTCATGTGACAGTCAGAAACAGCTGACGGTTTACCTGCTTTTTTGCAATCCATGTTCTACCCTTTCTAGTTTTAAGAAAGTAATCAGTGTAAAAGCACACAACCCAACTATCCTTGAAAAATTTGTTTAGCTGTCTACAGCAGTGGTTCACAATCTTTCCCTAGGGACCCCTTTCATATCATTGAGCAAACAGAGAACCCCTTACTAAGTGACATTTTATGGATTTTTACAGTACGAAACTAATAAACCCAAATAGTGAACACAATAACTGCAGGAAGTTGGTGTAAAATCAGTGGTTTGGATGAACTTTGAGCAGATAATTTCCTGTAAATATTACATCAGAGGTAAAGTTACTGATGGTTTTAGAAACTCTTAATACAGCTATAGGTCTGCACTGTGTATTTTGCAACCATCATACATTATATCTAAGCAAACAATTTCATTTAGTTTTCTCCACAGAATTAGACAGAATGTGATACAGGCCTATAATGTATCTTTTTGGGCTTTCTTAAAATCAAGGCCTCACAACCCCCTGTGAAGCTTTGGCAATCCCTAGGGGGGGTCTCGACCCCCAGGTTGGGAACCACTGGTCTACAGCAAAGGAGTATTTGACAACTTGGGAACGAGACTTGGCTCTGAATGGTTCCTGACCTTTTCAGTGGACCTCCACCATGCCATTGTTATGCCAAAGATGATTTAAAAAGACCTTTGTGGCTTTACATTGTTCACAATGTTACTTGCTTTGCAGATCGTACTGGTCCCTTGAGAGTTAACACTTGAGAAACTATAAAACTGATGCAGTAGTATGTGGGTTGAATATATGCAGATTAAAAACTACGCAGAAATACTTTGTCATTAAAGTAGGAAGAAAACAAGAGATCCCAAAACACGTTACTTGGGGAAATTCATCAATCATCTTCCACACATTGAATATCACTCAAAACATTTGAAAGGAGGTTCAATAACGACGAATGAAATGAAGAGGTGCATTCAGATTGTCTGGACAGCAGCTGTGAGATTTAATATAAGTCAGTACATTTACTATTAATTTCCAGTGTAAAAATACCACATATAATTCCACATATTTTCCCCTCAATTTCAGGACTTTAACGTTCAGTATGAACAGTGTTCTGATAGGTAACACTGAGATCGTACAAACATACTGTATGTCAACAATAGGCTTTTAAGTGTTCATGGCTCTTAGAGGAAGATTCCTATGACTTTATTGAACCTTTGACCAGGGGTGGAGCCAAACACTGTAAATATTTGGGCTTAGCCCAAACATAGCTTTTCAAGTCATTTGAGATAATAGAATGCCTATAAGCTGTACATCATTCGGGAAAAACACGATAGTTGCCAAAGGCAAAAAATCCTCCTGTCAAGCCTACATCCTATTTTGTATCAAATTGTTGACACAAATTTATTTTGAAAACCTAAACGATTCAGGGCTTTTAAGAATAAAATTGGGGCTGCTCTGCCCATGCCTTTGACCACCACAAGCTCAAAATCCCCCCCTACCAACACCTCGTTGAAAAATCTGAGTCAGATTTACATTTTGGTGAATTTACTCTGGCTTTTCTTCTTATACATTCAAGAACCTAATGTACAGAAACAGTGATGATGATGTGTTCAATCAAAAAAAAAAAAAAAACTAATGTGTACACACACACACAGTTTCTTCAATGACCACAATAAGACAATGATTTTGATCCACTGTATGGGGAGAAAACGTGATTCAATATGTTCACCTGCCTTTTTACAGCTCCTCCTCTCCCAAAACCCTGTCTGACAAAGTGAGACTTTTGACATTATAGGACCCTTAGTCCTACAATGTCAGTGTTTTTGAGAAATGTGAAAGAAACTGAATTTCTGGCTCTAAGCAACATTAATCCAACAAAATCATCAGCTATTATTTAACATGCTACACTGCTAAGGTTTGAATTATTGGACAACGAAATGAGAAGACACACTGTAAAAGGTTGTAGTACACTGCTGCACGATTAGACCATAGATGACAGCAGCCCATCAGGTACTTTGCCCTGGTGTCCTGCCCTGCCCTTTTTTGGGTGAAAGCAGCCCCTCTAGTTTGACTGGGGATAAATGCGAATTCTGTGGTCTTTGCCAACTTAAGAGCAAAAAATAAGGATCCCTTTTTAGACATCTGACACGGTTTCTGTCGTTAAGAGACTTACTTTTGGTCGTCTGTCCAATATGACGTTACTGTAAACTAATTCCATCGCTGTGGCAAAGCAGAACTCCTGTTTGTGCTTATTAAATAACCTTTTACTACGAGAGAAGTAGAAAACATGTCTGTTTTATGTCCACTTCCAATGCTACTTTACGCTGTTTACATTTTGGAAGCCACAAATCTCTGCCCTTCACTCTTTACGGAAGTAAAGAAAGTCGTAACCTGGGTTTTTTTCATCTTTGTACAAATGTGATGCAGGAATAGTGCCACTCGGTACTTTGCTTCACCCAAAGGGGAGCCTGGATGTTCTGAAGACAGGAAAGTTACCTATGCCTGCTCTTATCTATGGCATGTACACTGTAGATCAAAATTAGAGAACAATCTACAATTTCCTAAATGTCAAGATCACTGCTTAGTCCTATTTGAAATGATCCAAACAGGAGTAAAAGAGCAGTATTTGTAAGCATATTTCCCGAGTTACATATGTTCTGTAGCACAGTATAAAAAACTTAAATGAGATATTTGAAAAAGAACACTGATCAAAATTAGAGAGCACTTTCAGATATCTCCCAGTTATTGGTGTTAATCTGGCATCTGGTGCTAATTTCCTTAATTATCTGACAAACGCTATTTAACTTGCAGCCTAACTTTTCAGTTTTCACTGACTTAGCAAGATGGTGAGTCGTTCTAAAGTGACTGAAACCCTTCGGCAGCAGGTTGTCCAGATGAAGGCCAAAGGGATGACCCTATCAGTCAAAGCAAGAGAAGTTGGTCGTTCCCAATCTGTGATTTCTAGAAAATTGCATCTTTACAATCTCACAAACTCATTCAAGTCCCCCAAGAAGGCTGGTCAACCACGAAAGACAAATGCAAGAGAGGACAGGATAATGCAGAGAATCTCAGTGGGTAATCGGTTCAACGCTGCAACTGGAATTGCTCGCATGTTCAACACTGAACAGGGTAAGGATCTGTCTTGTCATACAGTGTCTCAACGTTTTAGAGCATTTGGACTGAAAGTCCACTCTGCAGAGACCAAACCTTTCAAATGCAGAAAGAACCAAAAGGCTAGACTAACCTTTGCTAAGGAGCATGTTGTGTGGACAGAGGAGAACTGGTCCAAAGTTCACTTTANNCAAGTTTAATTTATTTGGGTCCGATGGGAAACAATATGTTCGTTGTAAAGTGTAAGTAAAGTGTGTAAAGAAGTCAGTGTCATGGTTTGGGGAATGTTTTCTGCAGCAGGAGTTGGGCCTCTTATACAACTACATGGCAGAGTGAATACAAATGTCTGTCAGAACCTTCTTCCACAACGTGGTTCCTTCCCTACATTCATCACCCAATCAGCCACGATTTTCATGCAGGACAATGCCCCCCGTCACACAGCAAAACGGGTAAAGCAGTTACTTGATACTGAAAACATTGAAATAATGAAATGGCCAGCCCAGAGTCCTGATCTAAACCCATTAGAAAACCTCTGGAAAATTCTTGATGACAAAGTTATGTCCAATAAACCCACTACAGTCACCGAACTGTGGAAGAGACTGGAAGAAGAGTGGACCAGAATAACACCAGAGCAGTGTGAGAGACTAGTGATGTCCTGTGGCCACAGATGTGCTGACGTCATTCAAAGCAACGGCCTGTACACTTCTTACTAATTGTTGACTGTTGTAACGTTAAGAAAATGTTGTTGTAATATTTCTTCCTGCTACAGTCATTGCTGTTCTCTAATTTTGATCATTGTCAACCAGGATCATTTTATGCAAAATAATGTTTTTTTGTTGAAGTGCTTTGGTCATTTTGTAAAACACTGTTCTAGTAGCATGGTATAGCCACAACAAAAACTCCTTCAAATGTTGAGCAATGAAGATTACATTATTTCTGAAAAAATAGAATGTAAAAGTGTAATCCAGTGTATGTGAGGGGTCAATAAAAGACAAAAACATCTATTTAAAACTAAGACGCCATATAACTGAAAATTAACAATCCAACGTTGACAATAAAGAGACAGCATTAAGACAATTAAATTTAAATAAATTAGCCAGTGTGTAAAGACACTAAATGGATCACACTAACATTCCAATTGTATCGCATTTTATAATAAATATATAATGAATGTCAAGACTGCAAACCACTTCCAACTACAGTAGGAAAGGTACGAGGCAATGCAAGCCCTTCAAATCTTAGCTGATGTCCTCCAGTGTACAATAACATGTTTGTATTCATAATATAAACAAATTACATTTTAATTTTTGTAACTTTAAAAGGTCCAGTGTGTAACATATAGGAGGATCTACTGGCAGAAAAGGAATAAAATATTCATAGGTATATTTAATCAGTATGTAATCACATGAAAATAAGATTGTAATAGTATTGTTTTTTAACCTTAGAATGAGCAGTTTTTATCTACAGAAGGGGACGGTTACTCTTCTGGCAGAGTTCGGCATGTTAAACCGACATGTTTCTACAGTAGTCCAGAACGACAATTCCGCATTGGCTTCACTTTTCAAACCCAGAAACTCTGTCCATTATATGTACTGTCAATAATTTCAAGACAAAAACAATTTCAGAACATGTTTAACTTAGGTTAGAACAACACAACAGGCCTCACTCTCATTAGGCGTTGCTGTTCATCCCAAAGGTGTTGGATGTAGTAGTATACCACCTGGAAATAGTTGTTTCAAGGTCTATGTTTTAAGACGTAGCTAGGCTAGCAGTTTTGTCTGATCTGACCTGGGTTTGATACCAAACAAATTTATTTCATGAAATGTTGGAATGTTACTTACTACTGGATCCTAATTGGCTGCCTAGTTTCCTTATTATATCCTATATCCTTGTATGGCTGCCATACAAACAATCAATGATGAGTCCCTTAACTTCTTGAAATACTCTATAAATATCAACAAATCACCCAGGCATACAAGTAGTAAGGCAATAAAAATAACCCATTGAGTAAAATGCAACAAATGGAACAAAGGCTGGAAGAATGTAACAAAAAAAACAAAAAAAAACAACAACGTTCTCATCCGGTGAAATGATAACCCAGTGAAATGATGAACCACCTCCTCCTTCCATCAGTCTTTCTTGTTTCGCTCTGAATGTCTCCTTGAGGCAGAGGCTCTGGCAGCTGGACAGAAGGATCAAACACTGATGTTTGTGTCTCCAGTAAAAGTTTCCTCTCAGGTCATCTGACAGCAGAAACAGAGAGAAGATTTGCTTAACATGCTTTGACTGGTTTCAGTTAAGAATCTGATCAAGACTTCCATGCCAGTATTCTGTATTTGACAGTTTGCAATATGTGATGTTACAAATATGTGGATTTTGATCCCCAGCCTTAGTGTCAACTACCAGCCTAGTCATCCTGCCTCCTCTCCAGCTGGCCTGGATCTGCAGCACCTTTTATCACAGACGGTTTCTTTCATTTGTTGCTCTTAAACACATTCATGGTGTTAACTACATTGGCTCTGAATCAGAGTACCCATTACTGAACTCAATACATGTTACCACTTTAGTTGTACATTTAGATAAAAAAGGAATGTTAATTACCTGCTGAGTGCATCTTGGATTGGTTCCAGCACTAACACCTTACACTCTCTCTTGGCTATTTTGTCCATTGAAATGAGGGTGTGGTCAGGGGGCAAGTAGAGGGCTCTGCCCATTGGAGACCCTATAGATGGGGTTACAGTCCGACGCTCCATCACACTGCTTGACCTGGAGAAAATAGAGACACTGCGTCACGGACATGATAGCCAGGAATGTGTAGGTCTGACTGTAAATGTCTCTCCTGTACTGCATAATGTGTTGTATCTAACAATTAGAACTGACTGATATATCAGTTGGCCGATAATGATTTTCCAGCCGATACTGACTCTAAACAGCCAATCAGATGACACATTTATTTTACTTGACAGGAAAGTTATATTCAGTCTTTCACATGCATAGATTTTTGGCCGGACGGCAAGTAAATTTCCCAGCAGCAACTCATTTGTATTCTTTAATAAAGTTATTTGTTCAAGAGAGCAGCCTTCTGAGTACCTCTGCATAGTCACATTGGTGCACAATGCACATAAAAAAGATTCAGGGTTCCCATGTGTCCTGGAAAACTTGGATATTAAGATACATTTAGGGACCTGAAAATTTACCAAATATCCTGGAAATAATCTATGCTGTCTGTTGTATTTTAGCCCCTCACTCAGCCCGCCTAGGTAAACCTAGTTTAGAGTTAAATTGGCTGTGGTGAGAACAGTGGAAAGTGAGCTAACATGGAGTGTCCCATAAAGGCTGACCACCTACCTGTAATGATTCACTTCATCATGAAGCCTGCATCACCAAAATCGAGGAATAAAATTGGGAAGAATGTAAATATAATGCCTAAAATGTGACATTTCCCCACTAAAATTTCATTTCAGTCGGGCTCTACTTACAATGACTGAATGAATTCATCTGTAATGAAATGCATTTACAAAATTACAAATCCGACACCACATTTGAATAAGCCCTAGAGGTAACATCGGTTTTTGGGTTACGATGAGTGGACCCACTGACGGGATCATCAAGAAGCTGCTATATTTTCATAAACACGTCAAAGGGTTAATTAATGACATAATAATGAAAATATAGCTGAGATGAACTCTCTATTGGAAGCAGCACGTTGCTGCACAGTGATCCTCTGTACCTGACGTGGTGTGACCTGGATGGGTTCTGGTGGGAGAAACTCTGAGACCGGCCCAGGCTGTGTCTCTCCAGCAGCTCTCTGACCGCAGGACCAGAAGATGAAGGCGAGTTCCTCAGTGGAGATCGAAACTCCATAGGAGGAGTGGACACCGAGGCTGTGAACTGGAGCTTCAGTTTCATATGCTGGCTCAACTACGTTGTTGTCATGGAGCAGGATCGGGATGAACAAGATGGAACAATTACTGTATTATTATTACAATACACGAGTATTACGTGTGTAGCCGTGTTAATTTTGTCAATGAATATGTCTAGTTATGACAAATGTTTA